CTAGTATCTTCTAATTAACATATTCATCTACCTGATTGTTTTGCTTTATGGAACTATAGGCCAGTAAGAAAATTTGCAGTAATCCATGTAGCTAAAGCTGTAGTCCCATTGTTTTCACCATGTAGTTGGAAAGCAGTTTACCATACTCACTACACACTCAGAAACAAAGTGTACTAGGTGTTCTCACATAAGAGTCTCACCTCCATACCATCCATTGCCATTGTTGCAAGGTAGTTAGGGTCTTGTTTATTCCAGCAAAGGCGAAGCAAAGGATGATGCTGAGGATCCTCATAGATAATAGTGCTATGTTCCAAGTGCCTTAAGTCAAACATCCTCACTGAGCCATCAGCACCAACAGAAGCAAACATGTCTCTCCCACCTCCGGCACGGCTGAATGCAATATCATAAACCTGTTCGGATACCAACAGCAGAAGGTGATAAAATACGATGCTTCCCATATTAAGGATTCCTGTCCCACTTTAATTTTTCATGCAAAGGCAGGAGCAAAGAAGATATGTCCAACAAATTATTTGCTTTAGCTTAAAAAAGGACAATGCTTACCACAAAATAGGGCTTTAGGCATAACACTCCTTGTGAGCAGAATGTTTCTTTTGCAAAATATTTTACTTTGTTGTATTGATTCCCCATTATCAATGAATTACTAAAAGGAAAATAAATGTATTACTAATAGCAGCAACACAACCCACCTTGGCTCCTAGTTGATTATTTCCAATGTATAGGTTGTATTTTCTAAACTTTTAGTAACTGCACATATTTACAGAAAAATAAAAATAATACACCATCACCTCTTTGTCATGGGCAATCAACTGAGTCTTGACATGGCCAGACACTAAATTCACTCTTCCCAACACCTGGCCAGTTTCCAAACCCCAGATAGTACAAGTTGTGTCAATGCTAGAAGTACCTGGCATAGTTTGAGAGGAAAGGGGGGGAAAAACATACATTAGAACTATTTTTTCTTAAAATAGCAATAAAATACAATACAAATATGGACCATTACATAAAATTTCTAATCCTAGACCTCAAGAAGTGAACCTCTATCGCCTTAATTTATAGAAAGAAATCTCACTGTATCTGTTAACTATTTTGTAAAATATTATTATAATCTTTGGATCCTCTATGGCAGTCAAAATGTTTAAATCAAACTATCAAGTTTTTTAAAAATGTATTTTTCTATATTGTGATTAATCAAAATTCTATTTATTACTATGGGACTATGACTGCCTATATGATCAAAATATTTGACCTGAAGTAATATGCATTAATAAAAGTAAATGTTAATCAACAATAATCTATAACATAATAAAATTACATATATTCATTTTATGCATCAATGCAATTTGCTAGTATAAACTTCAATTTTAAAGCCTTAGTGAGAATTCAAATAAAATGGAAGAAAAAGAATAAAACCAAGAAGGTTCTAGCTCCTTAGTTATTAAAGGAACTCATTATGCAATTATAAAAGCAGAACACCAAAATCACAAGTCATTTTTCTGCTTAATATTTGACAATTAAAAAAGCTGGTACTTAATTATTTTGACTGACTAGCTGATAATTGTACTGACAAAGAATTGCCAAAAGAAAAGAGTGGTTACAATAAAATTATTCAGTGTTTTCAGGTCTCTTTATTGGAGAATGTGATTTTAAAAAGGCTAACAGTAAAAGATACAGATGTCTGTATAGGACAGCTCCATGTCAATTTAACCAATTTGCCATAAGCCAAGTACATATAGGTAATCCTTTACTGTTTGTTCAGTGACTATTTGAAATTATCCCAGCATTGAACAAAGGGATATACAACACTTCCTAAAGTTCTGACTACTGCAGTCTTAAAATCTACAATACAGATATGTGACAAAAATTCAGATCTTGACAGCATGCCCACTCTTATGACCATGGCAGTGCTGCATAATTCCTGCTGCTATGTGCTGAGAGGTCTCAGCTGGCCAAACCCACCCATGTGCAAGCTTCCCATCCATCCCCTATTCCTGGAAATCCTGGGCCTTCTCCTTGTCCAACCGCATAAGTCCACTTACCTTCCCTTTCCGTGCAGGTGCCACCAGCTGATATGAAGGACACTTATTGTAGAAAGCTAGCTAATGTGATATTTCCGAATGCAGAAAGAAACTTAGAGCATTACAATGACTCTCAATCATCTCACAACGTACTGAGGCTCTTTAAGTCAGGGAACATCATAAGATGAACACCAGCCTTTGCGCTGTTTCGGAAGGCTAGAAAGAGCTTCAAAACATCATAAAGGCTGATGCTCATGTGGTGACATTTCCAAAGATAGAAAGAGTCTCAAACATTACATTAGCTAGATTTCTATAGCACCTGCACTTTGCATCAGCTGAGCACATTTATCAGAAGCTGCAGAAAGGGAAAGTAAATGGACTAGCAAGTTTGGGCTGGGAGAATGCCCAAGACTTCTGGGAGTGGTCGGGGAGAGGGAGGGAGAGGTGCATACATTGATGGCCCTAGCTGTTCAAAATCTCCCAGCCCACAACAGTTTCCACATGCCATCCCCCTGCAATAAATTAATGACCCGTATGATCACTTAACTATGGCAGTGGTGGGAGCTAGGATGGGGGTCATTCAGCATGCCTCACTTAATGATCATAACAACTTACAATTCAAATTCTTGGATCAATTATAATTGTAAGTTGAGGACTATCTATAGTAAACCTCTCCAGTATTTGTCATAGTCAAGAGCATTTTTTTTAATTTCATGATGTTTTTACTGTTGAACAAAAAAAGTCATAATGTCCAGAGAAAGCTCTTCCAAGTCTGGTTTAATCCTCTTGGTAAATCTTATGCTATTAACTTTTAATTTATAAATAGAACTTTTAGTTATTTTAATCATGTTACCATCATCATTCTGCTACATTAGTAATTGGAGCTTACCTAACAGATAAGGATCCACTTCATTCCAATCAAAGGAGGTCAGTGGAGCACAAAAATCAGAATTCTTATTGTTGTTCAGCAGACATTCTAGTCTGGTCTCTGTTTCACCCACCTGAATAAAAAATATCAAGAAATACTTGTCATCACATTAAGTTAATATACATACCAATATTTAAAAGAATATGGATTCTCTAAAACTTAGGGAAATGGCCATTCTCTGTTTGTCCTCCAAAATCTTCATAACTCTGCACGCATTTCATTGTATCCAGAGAGCAACAGCAGAGACAATATATAGTTTTCCCATTGCAATTATTGGATTCTTCATTATACTAAAATACAGAGGTTTTTAGTTAAATTGGAGGGAATTCCTTATAGCAACATACTTCTCCTTGAACCCTTAAATAGATTTTGAGGGGGCACAGAAGAAAATCCAATTGCATGAATATTGCATACAAAAGGCACTTGCATAATGGTGCAATGCTGCTTTCATCATTTTGTCAAAATGTCAGATTTTCTTGGCTTTAATTTAATCTAAATTTGATTTCCTTTTTAAAGTTTCTTATTCATTTTTTAATTCAATTTATACAGGTAGTCGTTGATTTACAAGAGTTTATTTAGTGACCGTTCAAAGTTGCACCATTGAAAAAAGTAACTTATGACCATTTTTCAGTTACTTTGCTGTATCCCCATGACCACATAATCAAAATCCAGATGTTTGGCAACTGGTTCATATTTATAACCGTTGCTGTATCCCAAGGTCAGTGACCCCTTTTTGTGACTTTCTGACAAGCAAATTCAATGGGAAGACAAGTTCCCTTAACAACTGGTTACTAACTTATCAATTGCAGAAATTTTGGGCTCAATTGTGGCCATGGTTTGAGGACCTGTATACCAGCCACTTTGCTATTTGGGGCGATTCTAGGTGGCTTACAATATAATAAAAATAGGGATATAAAAAGCCATTATAAATATAGAAACTGATTAAAATAACAAAAGATTAATTATAGAGTAAAAAACTGTGAGTTTAGAGCAGAGCAGTGGTGGTGCCTTCCCAATCACTGCAACAACTGTAGAAAATGACCAGGCCAACTCTAAGTGTAATGTGAAACAGGTCATCAGTTTGTAGCTTTGAACTCTGGCTACTGGTTCCTTGTGCTTGATATTAACCAACTGCAGCCTACAGCTTCTCCACCAGGGCTCCAAACAGATGAGCAAATCCAGGTTTTAAGGCTCCTTCTAAAGGCCAGAAAGGTGGGGGCAAATCTCATGTGCTGAGAGAAGAGCAGGGGACATAACAGAGAAGGCTCTTTTCCTAGACCCAGATGAAAATCCTTGGCTAATGGGGTTTGCAGTAAGTCCTTTCTGCTAGAGTGAGACAGGCCAACCCCTTTGGGGCAAGACAGCTCCTTAAATATCCTGAACCCATGCCATATGGACTTTAAAGGTCATTGACCAACAATATATTCAGGTTATTATTGATAATGATTATGATAAATTCAATGTTTTTTTTAAAGATGGAATTACTTTTGATTTATAAAGTACTATTTGTAAGCAATATTCTCCTAAAATCTCACAACACTTAAACTTCAATATTTTTGAAGCATATGTTTGTGGGTTTTTATCCCACAGATGCAAGGAAAATAATCTCAAAAATATAGATATTATTTTTGCTATCCATTCATGAAATATGGATAAATATCAGACTTCCGGGACCTACCTTATTTTTTTAAAACAGATCATCAACATCTACCAACCAGAAGCAAATAAATAATATTTTCCGTAGCATAACTTTGCACAATGCTTTCACACAAAAGCCCAGAGCAGAGATGAGAGAGTAGCAAATGCTATGTGAGATATTTTGGCAATGTTCAGAGATTCAGCTTTATATGTAATGGATATTCCATTTGTTAAGTTGGGCTCTAGAGAGCAATTGGAATTACTGTTACTGTAGCAGACCTCTGTTGTGTAACAACCTATCTATCTAAGTTCCTTGACTGCATGGCCTGACTGGTCATGAACTTCCTCAGACTTATGGTCTTAGGGGATTTCAAACTGCTTTCTCTTGAGGGCAAGGTGTGGGATGTTTTGGGAGTTCATGGCCAACAAGACAGTATTGGATCTGATGCACTTTGCCAAGGGTTAACACATGGTGGTGATCATAGACAAAATCTAATTTTCTTCTCAAGGCAGCAGCTCGACAAATTACTCTCTCTGGCATTGGAGATTACTACTTCTTTCCTGTCAATGGTCAGATCACTTTCTGATTGCCTTGATATTGTTCTCTGTTGTAGAGAGGCTGAGCCTATTTGAACACTGATTGACCTTATTTGGTTCCACAGGGAGCTTAGAGAGTATTCCCGCAGGTCTGGTGCATAGTTTGACTGCGGCTTCAGTCATTGCCTAGAATAAGGTGGTGGTTGTGAATGGAATCAGATCACGCCTATGGGGCTTTTCTCCTGCTGTGAATCCCAGGACTCCCTTTAGTTCATAAAGGAGTGGAAGGAGATGAAAATATGAGAAGAGACCCTGAAAGCAGTACTGGAGGACAATGAGGAACGAACTCAATGAAGCACGAACTACAGCCATTATTAAGACCTATGTCATGGTGGTAAAAGTGGCAAAATATTCTGGATAGCTGTCCTGTTTAGAAAGGCTCAGTCTTTCCTGGAGAACTGGAGATTCTCTTTCAGAGCTGCCGTAAGGAATATTCTAGGCATCTTCAGAAAAAGGTATTTGGATTGGCTCCAAACTAGACTGGCATTGCGGCAAATCACATGAAAATAATTGAGACTTAGTGAGCTCTGTTATTTGGGATGAGTTAACTCTTGTTCCTGTTAGCTCTTATGAAGTGGAGAGAAGTTTTGGAATTGCAAGGTTGCTACCTGTATATTAGAGCCATGCACCTGTTGCATTGCTAAGATTTTCTGGGAAACTATGTGTAGCCAGTCCTAGTGGTGGAAATTCTATCACTGGGGGAAATCAATGTCCTGCCAATGTTGAAAGAGATGTTGGTTTACTCCAAGAAGCTTTCATTGGAAAATTCTTCCTGTGTCTAAATTGCACTTTTTGGAAAAAAATGTGGAAAAGTTGATTACACTACAGCTTGATGATCCTGAAAGAAGTAGATCATTTGGACACCTTTCAGCTGGGTATAAGACTGAAACAGTATTGATTGTGCTTGTGGATTATCTTTGGCAGGACCAGGAAAGATTAGTGTGCCCATTCTGGCTTTCCTTGAAATCTCTCAGCAACCTTCAATATCTGGATATCTGGAGGCAAGGGGGTCAGCTGGAGACCATATAGTGTTTTTAGTTTATTAGATCTGTTTTCCCCTCAGGAGTTCTTTCAGGTTTCATATTTTAGTTAGTTTTGACTATTATTTTGTAATAAATAATAAACTAATAATAACCCTGTTGTTAGCCACTCAGAGTTATTTGTTAACATACCTCATGTTAACAATTTCTAAGTGTAAAGCAAAAAATGTATTAAAAAATTAAGCAGATTCAAATACATATGATCAGTTCATAAATAGAATACTTAGTGTATATAGTCATGTTATAAAATGATAACAGTAGTTCATATATATAGCAATATCAAATAAATCAATTTACCCAGTATAAATTACATATGGATTCAAATGTTTATTTGTAAACCATTTGAAATCCTGCTTTATTCTATGGCTTGTTGGATGAATCCAGTGAATTTAATGAAACTATGGTTAAGCAAATAATAACTGACTGCAAATTGTGAACCATCTAAACCCGTGAAAAAATGTCCACAAAAATCAAAGCCACTCTGATTCTGTTCCTCCCTATCCAGAGCTTGACAGCCCCCACGTACTAGATCCCAATTTCTACTTGCATTATCTGCTTAGTCCATAAACAAGATGTGCAGCTGCTACATCTTTTGCATACCCATGATATCAGACTCTGTGACAATAGATGAGCTCCCACAATTGATTTCAGAGATGTACAAAAGAAGCTAAGAGAGTAGAAAGACCTGAGGTACTCCACAAGGTCTATATAGTCCACAATAATTTAGTTGAAAGAGGCTTCTGGAACAGGAGGCATATTATATCTTGTTATGGTAATGGAGCATTCCTTCAATCAAAGAAGCATTAATGCTTGAAATTTAGTATTCTGCCACTTTACAAGAGGCCTCATGAGGGGCAGGAATCCAAATGAAAAGTGCAGAGCTGACATTAGAGAGAGCCATATTCATTTCCTTAGGATTCATATATTCAAATCAATTTGAATATTGCCAGAACAATTTATAGGACAAAGTTGTAATCACCTCTACTAGCACCATCCAATTAGAATCTAATTCTATTAAAATCTGAGTGGTTATATCTGCCATATTGCCCATTTAAATGTTCTTGATGACCATCTTTCCTTTAAAGGGAACAAGTCAATTTAAAAAGAGTTGCTGGTGCATTCAGCAGATGCAATAGGAGTGATAATATTAGTTTCTTTTTACTGATTGATTTGCTACCGTGTTGACATGAGCTCTAATTAAAGTCTACCTAGATTCAAAATAGGTCTTCCAGCAATGCTCTAGGCATCTCTACTGCTCCATATCATTGAGCTACTCATAAACCAAGGAGCTATAGTGAATTTAGGGAGAGACCTCCCTAGTGGGCGAGACCGCCCTGCTCAAGCATTCTAATTATCTCTTTATTCTATTGGGCAACCACGATTTCAACTGAGCTGTTCATTAGATCCTTGGGCCCTCTAAAAATGTACTGGATCCATTTGGTGCCCAAAGTAGGTCAATCTAACAACTCCTTCTCCATTAGGGGTGGGTTAATTGCAACATGATGTTCTATAGCTATCATGATGATCTAGCCACAACAAGGAGCTGACATTTATCCTGCCCCTTTTAAGATCATGTTCTGTCTGCCCCAAGATAAAAACCAGATCTAGCATATGATCCTTTATAGGTCTTGGGTCTTTAATATGCTGAGCCAGGTGTATTGTCATGGCAGCCAAGAACTCTTGAGCTGTTCTAGACCTTTCAGCCAGGACTGGCAAGTTGAAGCTCCCTAATATCACTTTGGCAGCCATGATGGCGGATCCTGCTTTGCAAAATGGGGAATGATATACCAGCAGCTAGCCCAAAGGTCTTGTTAGTCTAATCGCACTAACAAGTTCTCACATTTGTTTATCTAGAGTAGTATTCCTCGATGCCAGCAGAGTTTCAGGGATGACAATAGCTACCGCCCACCATCATCCTGGGACAAACTGAAAACCTGGAGGTGGGGGAGGAGATCTTTGATAAATGAACTTCCCCTTTCTTCATGCCACCCAGATTTTGGTAATGCAAACCAGGTCTACCATTGCATCCACAATTGTGATGATGCAGGTCTGGTATTCAATATTACAGCAGGAGTGAATCCCCAGCGTTCCAAGCATTTCTGCACTATTTCCAAATAAGAACCCATATATCATTACATTAAGGAAGACAGATTTTCAGGTTATTTGTAATATATTTCTGATGAACTGCTGAAAAATTCACTCTTTTTACTGATAACTGAAGAGCTTACAGGTGAAATGATTATCTCTTGAATTGTTATCAATCTGTTGAATATAGTGCTATATTTGAGATACAGCTGTAGTCTTACTAATATACCAATATATTGTGAGAATATTCTGAGAAATCTATGAAAACCTTCAAGTTACATTCTTCAAAAACCAAACCTTTTATACTTGGATGTGCTGAATATATATATTTTAAATTAAAGCATAAAAGAATTATTTCCTAAATGGTCTACTTACTCTCCACACACGCAGGTAGTCACCACTGGTTGCCAAAAGGTCTGGATAAACTCCTTTAGTATCTGGGATCCACATGAGCTTGGTAGTAGGATAGGGGTGATCAAAAGTATTTCTGCAAATGAATTCAGAGCTTTCTTCATCCAACCCAACAAGCTGAACCTATGAGGAAAAAAAGTGTGTGTGTCTGTCTGTCTGTGCGCACACGCACACACTCATTCATTCCTATTCCAGTACATCTTTCACCTACATGTTCAGAAGTTCCAAAATGTAAGGCTTGAAGGACAAAGACTAACACAGCTAAGGAAAAATGGTTACAAGTAAAATTGATCAAATAAAACTAAATAAATTCCAATGTCCAGATAGTATCTATCTAAGACAGGGGTGTCAAACTCAAAGCCTGAGGCCCAGGTCTGGCCCATGGAGTGGTTACATCTGACCCACGGGGCCAGCCTGGAAATAGCAAAGGACCAACCCATGGTGCCTCTGCTACCGAAAATGGGGTGCAGGTGGGGAATGTGCGCCTCCCTGCATTCGGTTTTTGCACTAGAGTGCTCCAGGAGGCCTTGCAGGCCCAAAATGGGGCTTCCAGGTGCTGAAGGAAGGCCAGCCTTGACTCAGAAAGTTAGAAAAGGGAGGAAAGGTAAAATATTTTACCTGCCAAGCTTGCAGGATTCTGCTACTATAGCCCATGTCAATTTTATAGTTCTAGTCTTCCTATAGAGAGTTTCTTAATCTGGTCTCTCTCTAATAAGATGATCAAGTAGATCAAGTATTTAAAAAAAACCAAAATCACAGAAATGTATGGCTCTCTATTTTTATAAATGTATAAAATCATTTATGTGGAGGTGTGGTCATGTGTCATGCCCAGCCCGGCCATCCCCATCATGGCTACGCCCAGCCCTTCAAGGTCAACACAAATCTGATGCGGCCCTCAATAAAATTGAGTTTGACACCCTTGATCTAAGAGTTTTTGGAGCACTTAAGTATAAAATTGAAAATTTTTCACAAGAAATAATACAATACTTTTAAACAAAGGACTGGGAAAATGTGATTTCAATTTTTCTAAGAAGATTGAAAGGCAACAAAGAAACTTCAGGATGATTTCTTGCAGGAAAAATTGAAATAATTCTTAAAGATAAAATAATACATAGGACTAGTCTTGTTGAAAAGGACCAAAGAGAAGTCTTTTCTCACTAACCTTCCAGCTTCTTTGAAAGTATCAAAAAAGACACAGAGAAGAGTACTTCTCCGGGAATAGTCCTCCAGTAAGGAATTGGTGTAAGGACTGGTACTTTTATTTATATCTGGAATTAGGGTAATCATTCAAGTTACCATGCTGAATATATAAAGGATTATTCATATCCGCGTTTAAATCCAAAAATAATTGTGATGCACTCTAAAAGCAACCTTCCAATCCTGATGAATGGACTTCAAAATGATGAATGCAATTCACTAAAATTAAATGTCGGGTGCATGTTGGCATATACATTTAAAATAAATTCCAAAAAGAGTATCTTGGAGTCAGGTTGGATGGTTCAATGAAGATATCAACTGTTTGCAGCTGCTATAAAAATATTAAAATTCAACTTGGAGTTATTAGAACTAAACAGAATTGTCAGTATAATATTCCCTTTATTTTATTTATTTATTTGTTAAATTTCTAGGCCGCCCAATCCCGGAGGTCTCTGGGTGGCTTACAAAGAAAGAAAAAAGAAAAGCAAAATAAAAAAATAATTTAAAAATTCCCAACATGCATACATTTCTAATCGGGGCTGGACCTTAACAATAAGGTTAACAGCCCCAGACCTGCCGGAACAGCCAGGTTTTAACAGCTTTTCTGAAGGCCATGAGAGTGGGTAAGGTCCGGACCTCTGGGGGGTAGCTGGTTCCCCAGGGTCCGAGCAGTCACAGAGAAGGCTCTCCTCCAGGGGCCCGCCAGTCGACATTGTCCGGCTGACGGCATCCGAAGGAGGCCCACCCTGTGTGATCTTATCGGCCGTTGGGAGGTGTGTGGCAGTAGGCGGTCTCGCAGATACACTGCTCCTGAGCCATGNAACACCGACTGCGACCTGTCAGAGAGGTAGGAGGAAAACCACCGAAGAACGGTGCCTCCCACTCCCCCCATATGTGGGGGATGTATGTGCGTGCATGCTCAGGGGGGCATGTGCATGCACAGGGGGCGTGCACACATGTACAGGGGGAGGGGTGAATGCAGGTGGCCATGCACACATGCGTGGGGAGTGGGGCACATGCAGGGGGCATACGTGGGGGGAATGTGTGCGTTGCATTTGAGGGGTTCAGGTACAGGTGTGCTTTGGGCACTCAGTCCAGAAAACCTATGCTATCATTGGGTAGCCATTCATCATAAGGGCTTCCAAACTGAGAAATATATGTATAATTTAAAAAAATAAACAGAAATAAAATTAAAGCTTAAAATTTAATTAAATATATAAGTGCTGTTGAAGGTTTTTTCCCCCTTTTGTCCAGTAAGCAATATGAAATTGGAGAGGTGGCTTAAATATTCTAAATAATCATAAGTTGAACTGAAGCAAAATATTCCTCTTTACTTATACTCCAGTAAGTTCTAAACTGAGAGCCAGTTTGGTGCAGTAGTGGTTAAGATACCAGAGCAGCGACCATGCATTTCAATCTCACCTGAGAAATGGAAACCATCCGGGTCCTGCTCTAGCTTGAATGTTTGGCAGAGCTGGAGTGTGTCCCTAGATTCCAAAATAGATGTATGAGTTAAATATGATGTGGAGGAATATTTTTATCTATTTCTCTCCAAATGGAAGGACATCTAAAATTAAACAGCAATATATTTCAAAGCAAGTCTTTCTTCAAGGGGTACATAATTATTTTAGAGAATTCGTTGCGACAATTAAGTGTAGCAGTGGATAGCTTAAGTGGCTTTATAAGAGGCCTAGATAAAATTCACAGCGGTAAAATGAACCTTGTCGATCCTTATTAGTCGGAGTAGCTAAATGGAATAACTTTATAACACAGAATGCTTCTAAGTTCCTTCCGGATGTGAACAAGAAACATATTGGGTAAAGCAAAAGCTTGATTGCCATTTATAACATCTGTATAAATATTTGTCAGTCTCCTATTGCAAACAGATGGTGTCTGGGTCAGACTTCTTTATTGTCAGTCTACTGTCAGTAAGCAAGGTTTCCTAGTCAAGGAATCACCAAGACCACTGCCAGAAATGCTGATAGGGCAGAATTTTTATATACAGGGCAAGCCACTAGTCTATAAAATGAGATCAAACCCCACTCCATTTTAGCACTGATGATGTCACGTAGTTGGTTAATGAAACATCTGCAAGAAAACAGCCAACCTCAGAGAGCACCAAGGACCCCACAATTCAATCCCCACTGCAAACATTCTCTTCCATTGAAAACCTTTGTATCTTGTACAATATGTGATTATTGCACAATGAGGGTAAGAGAGTGATATGAACTACATCAGACATGTCAAACTCGTGGGTGGAATCCTGCCCATGATAGACACAGAGTTGTCCTGCGGGCTGTCCCAGAGATGGGGAGGGACTGGCCTAGCCCCCCCCTACTCCCCACCATGCTCACTCAGTCGGTTATGATGACCAGGCCATGCCTACCCCAGCCCCCAAGGACAAACAAAATACTGATATGGCCTTCAATGGGATCAAGTTTGACACCCCTGCACCAGAGGTGGGTTGCTCCCGGTTTGGTCTGGTTCAGCCGAACCAGTAGTGGCGATGGCGGGAGGTTCCGCCCCACTCGCCCGGATGCTTCTGTGTATGCACAGAACCTTTTGTGTATGCGCAGAACCTTCTGTGTATGCGCAGAAGAATTCTGTGCAAGCACGCGCACGAGTGAACCATTAGTAAACTAGTTAGCAACCCACCACTACCCTGCACTACATGATATGGGGCCACAAGTAACAAAGGCTGAGGTTTGTACCAGTGGTGGGTTTCAAAAATTGTTCGAACCTACTCTGTGGGTGTGGCCTCCTTTGTGGAGTGGCTTGTTGCCCATGTGACCGGATGGGAGTGGCTTGCCGCCCATGTGACCGGATATGAAGATGCTGACGACACTTGTCAGAACCACCTTAAATTACCTCACACACAGCACTGGCATGCATAGGAATATGATGTAAACTTGTTTTTTAAAAGGCAACTTTGGTTTGCGTTAAAACAACTTCAACACATGGAGCGTTCT